CTTTTACCAGTTCCATCTATGTGAAGATAAGTCAAAGGTCCTACTTGACCATGGCTGGCTTTGCTTGGAAGCATGGAGGGAATGATTTCCTTGTGTTCACTCTCCTCTTTGCAGACTGGACACTGGTTCAGGTACATCGGGTGGGATCTCTATGGCATCCTTACTCAAGAGGACAGGTGACTCACCACAGTTACAGGACATTTTGAGATATGCTCATAGTCCCCTGTAACTTAGTCGACATAGGAGGGCAAGGAGTAAAAAAACTGTCCTTTATGTCCTCCTGATTTTTTTTTTAATTTTTAAAAATTATTTATTTAATAACAACATACTTAGAAGAAGCATATCATTACAACACAATTGACATATTCAATAACAGTTTCCTGAGGTAGGATGCATCTCAAAGCAACTGACATTGAGACGTTTTCACATGCATTCCTAATCTCTATATACATGACTATCACTGGTCACAGTCGCCCACCTTCTGAGCTCCTCGACATCTGAGCATGAATACAAACTCGTCAGATAGGCAGCCTTCCTCTCCCACTAGAGGCTCCATACTCTGCCATCCCTGTCACTGTCCACTGTGTTGTCAGCACCCTCATCCATTGCCCCTGTCTACCCATCTGGTAAATCTAGTCAGCCCAAGGTCCCTGTTCCAGGAGGGTCAGCTGTTCCTCATCTACAGCAATCCATTGTCAGTATTCCTTTGGATGGAATTGGGGTCTGCTGTTCATTTTTCCAGTAGTATGTTGGGTTACTGTCTGGAAAGCCTTTATCTATCCTAGCCAACTGATTTTTTTAAAACATGGGCTCTGGGGCTTGTACTCAGGACCTCATGCTTTCACAGCAAGTACTTTACCAATGAGCTGTCTCCCCATACCCCATTTAAAAGAATGTTTTAAATTACTAATGAACATTACACATATTGGAGGAAAGATGGAATTTGCTTTTTGTTTATCTGTTTTTGCTTAGGGGGGAGCATAATAGGTTCTTCTTATGTAGCCCAGGCTGGCGTTGAACTCAAGATCTTCCTGTCACAGACTCCAAAGTGTTGGGATTATAGGTTATGCTACCATGTCTGGTCTGTTTTGCTTTAATAGCTCAGGGTAGGTGATGCCTACCTCAGAATAAGATAAAAATCCCAAGCCATAAAAGACTCTTGAAAATTAGGTTGAATCACAACCTAATTTTTTATACAGTAATTTTTAAAAAAAGTTGCTAAAAAACCATTATGAAAGATAATTCCTGACAAAACAT